TTTTTTTTTTTTTTACAGTTTCAGGATAAGCTAAAACTTCACATGGCCACGCACATCACAGATTGCATCACCAAGAGCTCCGTGACCTCATCCCTGGACTGTCCGGTAACAGTAAGATTTTTCAAAGGAAATTAAAAAGTGCCAAAAGGACATTTATGTCACATACGCAGCGATGTTCTTTGTCCGGTAGACCCTAGGCACTGTATCGGCGCCTTCCTTCTCACTGCGACCCGAGCGATCAGATTTCTTCTCAAAAGTCCTTCCTCAGCACCTGGCAGGTTTCTCAGGGAGCCCAGCAGCGCGCTAAAGAGGTGGAAGTCTACTGTGGAATACTGCCCGCAGCTACAAGCCCATCCCATATGCAGATTTCTGGTTTTTCCAGTAAAATAGTGAATAAGAGAGCCCTAATAATTGACCCAAGTTACCCTTCTTCAGCTGAGAGAGACAACTCCTCCTCCTTTATACATAGAATTTATGCCTATAATGTTACACCTCTAATTTATGACTGCAATTTTAGGATCAATTTTTATTGTTACGTAGTTCTTGTTCTCGGTAAGACTGTGCCTGTGTTGCTGAAAGAACAACCTGAAACACTGCATTAGGTTGCTGTTTAAAAAGAAAAAAAAAAATCCACCTTGCAGAAATATCCCCTTCACAGAATTTTAAGTCTTTGTCCTCTGAGCAGAGCTTTAGGAGTTGTGTGCTGAGCAGACAAGCTAGCAGGACACAGCGCTGTGCTGGAGAACTCATTTATCTTGCTTTAGAAGTGACACAGGAACTAAATCTGCCCTCACTTTACATCGCTGACTTTTATGGGACTACCCTACTGTAACACAAGGGCAGACGCAACCTAAAAAATGTAGCTATCTCAAGCCGTAACTAATCAAACAGCAGTTACACACGCACTAAATAAGCTGCTACAGAAAGCTACAGATTGTGAGAAATTTTCAGTCCAAACTGGACCTTCCGTAGCTTGGTTCTCACTAAGGCTTAAATTTCCAGAAGACGTGAAGTAAGTGGAAATAAAAACACTGAAATAGAGGAAAAAAATCCACTGAGAGCAAACTGCTAAGAAACAGGACAGCATCTCCCAAATACAGAGTGTTTAGTGCCCAAACACGAAAGTTAACTCACATAACATATGAAAAAATACCTTCCCTACATAGCTAACAGTGCCAGCAGCTTGAAGCACACAGTGCTGCACCCAGGCAAAGCTGCCGGCGCTGGGCGAAGGGCCCGGGCGGGCAGCAAGGCGAGCTGACCCCCGGGTGGAAATGCAGGAGCACGCCCGGGCTTCCAACTAGGGCACCCACAGAGCTGCTGGGAACCGGGGGCACGCGGGGCCCTTCGGGGCGGGCCGCGCACCAGAAATACTTCAAGGACGCTCTGGGGCCCCAAGGGTGTTATTACAGTTTGTGTAAGGTATCTTTAAGCAAGGCGCTTAAAGAAATAAATAGGTCAACGCCCTCAGAGGTTGAAGAGTGATGACAAAACAAAAAAAAGTTGCTAATTGACCTAAGCGACCCGGGCACGGCCTAGGAGAGACACAGGAGAGACTCCATCCCAGGTGAGAGGCATGAAGTTCCGCACAATCCCTGTACAGAGCTACACTTGGGCGGGCTGCCCCGTCCACCCTTCCGATCGGCCGTCAGAGCCGTCTGGTTCATTATCCCGCTCCAGGTCGAAGGGGAATCCTCAGAAAACGCACATACTCAGAGTTTGGAAGCGTTGACAGAATAATGCTGCCTTGTGAAGCAGGTAAATATTACAACTCCAGCTAATGGTTTTGCTTGCCTGTAATCAGAACAGTAAAGCTAATAAAACCCGCAAAATCCCTCCTTGGGTTAAAAGAGAACAACACTACTCAGAACTTAGGTGAGAGAATGAAGATAATTCTGTAATTCTCGATCTGAACAGTAACTGCCTGGCCCCGTGCTGTCTCTTTAAGGAGCGCCCAGCTGCTCAGTACAAAAAAAAAAATTAAAAAACCCTGCTTGATAAGGACACTGCCTTTTCCCTGTTTCACCATTGCAGCCCTCACTCCTCCCTTCGCCGTCGTGACCCCTGAACTGCCTCCTCAGTTCCTAGGCTTTGTGGACAGGGGATGTGCCGTGGACAAGCCTCTGCAAAGCGCACAGGGTGTTCGTGCTTCTGTAGTAACAACCAGGTGACCCGGGACCGCTGCCGTGACCGGCACCACGCGAGGCAACCGCAGCTAAACGGAGTTTAGCAGCTGGAATGACCGTGTAATTTAAACAGGGTGTTGCGTGTGGACAAGCCGGAGATCGCTGAAGTCTGAAAGACTCCTCCTGCACCGCGGGTGCAATCCTTCCGTCGCGCACGTGCACGATGCTCGTCAGCCAGCTCCGTGCCGCCCCGAGCGGAGCTGGCA